TCTACCACTGCTCATGGCAATGAGTTAAGACTCATCTGTATTCCACCTGTGGATGAAGTAGTATCATTAATAACTTCTGCCAAAGTTAATAATAAGATTATTACAGCCTTTTCTATTTGTATAATTTTCACCATCAGGAAGACTGCTCTGATTGTTAGGATAAACAGTCAGTAATTCTTCCAGGTAGAGTACCTGAACAATCAAGGGTGGCATTCTTTCAAAGCTGGTATCTGAGTCTGAATTTATATCCTTGGCTGTTTATAGAATTATAGTCTCTAGGTATAAACAAGTCTTGGAATACTATTACTGAAGTGCATGAAGTATTAGCCTCATGCAAACAAGACCATGTGTCCTGGCTGCAAAGGAAGTAGTAACCTTGTAGAGGCACTTCATGAAGGACATACATGAAAAAGATGGTCACAACATGAAGTCAGAACCAAGGCCTTGCATGTTGGGGTCTCTATTAGTCTCTTCCAAGTGCAAGTATTTGACTCATCATGCTATAAAGTTTTTAAAATTCAAATTTAGAGTTACGTGGGGCCTGATAGATACATTGTAATCATTCATTCTGTTCTGGGAGAAGGAAAACTAGTAAAATCATAAGTTAATGTATTTAAAGTCTTTTGTCCATGTCGGTTCAAGTAGAACCACCATTGGTTATAATTCCCTATGATTTAATTTGGTAACACTAGAATATTCCAGAGGTTTATATGGAGAGGGTGCAGTGATGGGTGGCACATCCAACAGTAAGACTGAGGGCAGAGACTACTATGCGAGATAACCTATGAATGGTAGTATAATGAACGGCCGAAACGCCCTCTTTTCTCTCCCCCTTTTAGTTTATCCATTCTTTGGAAATAGAAGACTTGCTTAATACTTGGGCTCTCAAAAAAAAAAGATTCTTACTGAAGATTTAGCCATTTCATTAAAAGATGTCACAATCTCAGAAAAATCTGCCCCCACTCTCTGAAATACCCAGTGAGACCTAGACATTATCTCAATTGTACTTTTTCGAGGAGTCTAGGATAAGTTTGAATAGTCTCTAGGGTGTTGTGAGAGAATGTCTTCCCCTCTTTGAAAAGGTCATGCCTTAAATTATGGACTATATTTTGGCAAAATTGTAATTTACATTTTTTGAAATTGTATTTCCATTTTCTGCTAAGGCTGAGAACAAGTAAGTGGAATCCTTTTTACAAGGCTTATCTGAACAAAGTAGGAAATCATCTATATCTTATATCAAAACTGAATCATAAGGGAAATTGGGATCTTTTAATTCTTGATTAAGGACATAGGAAAATAAGATGGGCTTCAGGGAACTCTTTGGACCTACCTGTCCATGTATTGTCCTCTCCAGTGAGGCAAAAAAATGTTGACTGTTCTGGTGTTGGGACACACCAAGAAAGAGCAATAATCCTCTACAGTGAAGCAGGTGGTTGGGGAAGAACTGCTGACAGGAGAGTATTTAGTATTAGATACTAATGGGAAGGGAGGAACATCAATTGTATTGATGTCCCTGAGATCTTGAACAAATCAATACTTTTGTCCATTTAGTTTCTTTACTGGCAGAATAGGAATGTTACAAGATTTAGTACAGATTATGAAAAGGACTTGAGCTTATATTTGTTCTAGCTCTGGGGAAGTTTGGCTAACAGATTGGTAGAATATATCTGAACTTTAATATAGTCCACCCCAATTATTTTTCCTGTGTCAAGGGGAATTCTGCACTATAGAGAGTCAGGTACAGTGTTAAGATATTCACCTGGAGTATACATCAAGCATAGCAAAAGAAGAAAAAGTTTATATAGAACAGACACAAGTTGATTACAAATACTGTAGATGAGTCCTCTGAAACTTCAAGAAATAGTCCTTCTGGTGTGCATTTAATATTATAGTTCTGTTTGTGAGGTAGTGGTGTTACAGAGCAACAAGGGGGGCCTGGGACGATATGCTATTACAAAAAGGAACCCCCCAGGTTCATTATGTCCGCCGCCAGAGGAAAGACATCTCTCAATGCCAAAGATTCATGAAAAGGAAAGGAAATTTTTATTTAATGCTATACAGACTTAAAGTAGTGACCTAATGTCTTCATCAAAACCCCAAAGTCCCTTAAAACACCCACAAACACACAGAATCCTTCCTTCCTTCCCTCCTTTGCCCAGTCTGGGGTACTGTATCTCAGGAAAAGAAATAGAAGTCCATGCCTCAGGCAGCCCCTGATTCTTCCCAGTAATGCATCTCACCTGGTAGGCCTCCCTTGGTTCCCAGTACCATCAGCTGTTTCACTGGGATCTCTGCTAAAGCCGGGTGGTGGTTCCCCCTTCTAAAGCTGCAGGGGTCCCCACTCTGGCAAAGCCACGAGGTTCTCTCTCCACTGCTCCAGCCACGTGGTCCTCTCTGCACAGTGGCTGCAGGAGTCACCACTCAGACAAAACTGCGTGGTTCTCTCTCCAGTGGCTATGGGGCTGGGGCGGGGGTCGCCAAACTGCCAGAGCTGAGTGGCGGTTCTCTGCTAAAGCAACATGGTTCTCCCCTCAATGGCTGCTGCTTCTCAGTTTAAATCCCTAAGCCAGCCTTCCTCTGCAGCCCCATTTTCGACTCCTCCTACAATCGGCTACACATGCCAGAACTCATCCTTCCAGCTTTACTGGGATGCCATCGTGGGTCTGGGCAGGTGTGGCCCCATGTCATGGAGCCAATCTTCTCCAAGCTCCCATGCAGGTGCTGTAACTCGGAGGATCTGCCTCCTAGTTACGTCTTGGTGGGGAAGTTACTTCCATTCCCCTGGCTCAGAGCATGGCCACAGCTATTTAACATATCCATGTAACCAGTTAAAGGTTATAGATATGTTAGATGACCACACCAGAGGATAGCTGCAAAGCTGTTGCTATACAAAATAGCTCTCAATGGCCCTGCTCCATGTGTCCCTTCCACCAACCCACACCTGGGGGTGGGGACATCCTAGTATTTCCTGAACACCTCGAGTTCTGGACCCCATTTCAAATCCCTATTTGGGGTCCCCCTCTTGGCTGCAACCTGTTACGGGGGGAAAAGGGGAAAGTTTCAGAAATGCTCTGGTTAGATCTTGGTGACATGGGAAGCAGGAGACCACTAACTAGAAGCAGGATATTTTATGGTTTGAGGGGCATATTTGGCTTTCTCTTATTGATCTTGAGTTGGAAGTAGGGAGAAAAATTGGGGAAGTTGGCAGTCACTGACCAAGTGCTAACTGTTTTCTGGGCTATTTCTTGAGGAGGTTGTAGATCAAAAGTCTATTGTCATATATGGTCTGGCCATTGTCTATTTATGTATTCAGTCTCTCACGGTGGAAGATTTGGATTGTAGATATTTTTAAAACCTGGCTGATGGATCATATTTTACTCTTTAGCTGTTGGACTGGGAGTCCTACAATAAATAATAATATTTAGTTGTGTAGCATTTGAAACTGTGTAATATACTTTCAAGTACATTCCCCCCACTCCCCCGTTTTATCCTTACAGCAATCTTGTGATCCAGGGAGGTTAATTACCTAAAGTCATTCAATAAATTTGGTTAGAATTAGGATTACATCATGATATAGAGTGATTTGTAATATACCACTCAAAATGTCTGGTATAGATATCACCTATAATGTCTTTAAAATAAATATTTTGGGTTTTGTACTATGATAATCTACTCTAATTGTTTCCAATTTCATTGCTTAAAAGCAGGATAAAGCCTTCAGGATCACAGCTCTCAACAAATACCTACAAGGCTGTCATGTGGAAGAAGGATTAGGTTTATTCCTATGGCTCCAGAGGGCAGACCACATGCCAGTGAATGGAAGAGAGGCAAATTTTAATTAAAATGTGAAAATATCTTTCTAATGGCACACTTGTCCCCAAAGAAGGGGTTGTCTTGTGAGAGTCTGGTCATCATCTCTCCTAGTGTAGAGTAAGACTCCGTGATACTACAGCTCTGGTGAGCAACTGGCCAGGCCAGCTGCCCTCAATGGGCTTGATAAACTTCAAGTTTATGAAATTTTGTTACATTCTAAAATGAGACATAGACATTTTAAATACAGCAGTTAAAGTCATTCAAATTCTGGATGAAGTTATGATGCTATGTTTTTTTAAAAACAGTCAGATCTATTTTAAACTTTAATAACTTCACTCTTCATTGAATTAATAATTTTGTCCTTACAACTACATATTTTCAAGAACATTTTTAAAGTAAAAATTGTCCTAATAAGCAGTAACCTCACACAATCTTCCATTAACATTGTTTTCTGATTGTGCAGTTATTAAACTTTACAACAAATGTAATGCACTTATTTTTGAAGTTTTAATCCATTTTAGGAATTCAGTGGGGTGAAAAGAAAAAATCTCCCTTTGAATGGTAAATGCTAGGATTTTAATCTTAATCTCAACTCTTTTAATGAGATCTGTTTCTTCTTTGCAGCTTCTTTTTTAATGTTTGTTCATGTCAAGCACTATTATATGCTTTTCTAGTTTATAAATAACTTGAAACTGAAATAAAACAGTGAGTCCTCTTCTACACTTGAATTGTGATTGTTTGATGTTCTTCAAGGACTTCCAGCATATCCTCTTTCACCCGCCTTTTATCTGGCTCTTCAACTTTTTAAATCCAGTTACCTAATTTTTGCCAGAAAATTTCTTTTTAATGCTGGAGTGTGTCTGTCTTTTGAAAAACAATACAGAATCCTAGGGAATCTTACAGAATCTGAGAAGTTATTACAGAGTATAAATTAGGCAAGAGATTGGGTGGAAAGAAATTCCCTCTGCATATATCCTCCAGTTACTCTGAATCGTCTTGGATAACTTCCTGAACCAGACTTCAGGCATTGTCCAAATCTGTCCTCTTAACCACACCTGTTTGTTTTTTTTTAATAACCGTACACGTTTGCATACACGTTTGGTGAGAGAGAGAGGGGGGTGGGGGGAGAGAGAGAGAGAGAACGATGACGTCAGGCTCTTCTTGGAGAATAGCAGGTGATACGGAAATAAAACAGGTGTTTGGAAAAGGTGTTCTATTAGAGAAGGGAGAACCGGTAGTTAATAACCATCATTCGGAGAGCCGACCGGAGGACAAGCTCTGTTGCTTTCTATTTCTTCGCTTGCAGCCCGGTTGCACATTTATTTGAAAAGGATTAAATTTCCTGGTCAGGTCGACCTTTCAAGACTAGTGAATATTTCTAGTGTCTCCATCGCCTTTTTTTGTTTTAAGGTTGATGGGGAAACAGTCTGTTGAAATTTTGTCTAGGTGAGTTGGACATTCTCAGAAATGAGACAGGGGGAAGGAAACGGACTTAGAAGCCCGAGAGCAAAGCTGCAGCTCACGGCCTGAATATCGTTCGGCCCCCTCACGCCCCGCCCGTGACCCCAGCGGAGACCCCCCGCGGTGGCGTCAATATCTGGTCCGCCCTTCGCCGGTGTGTTGCCAGCACTCGCCGGCCGGCGGGGCTTTGTGGCAGGGGCAGAGCTGAAGGCGGTTCCGGAGTCCGCGGGGGGCTTCGGAAGGACCCGCTCTGCGCTCGCCCTCTCCTGGGGCGGCTCTGCCTCGGGGCCGGCGCGGCGCCCACCATGCGGCGATCCCCGCGGTTCCCGCTGCTGGGCGCGATGCTCTGCGCGCTGCCCTGGCTCCTGCGGGCGGCGGCACCCCGGAGCCCCGCGCAGCCCCTGGCTCAGCGGCGCGACCCCCACGACCCTGCCAGGGGCGCCGATTTCGATCGCGTCTACAGCGGGGTGGTGAGCCTCAGCACCGAGACCATCTACGCCTTCAACTACACCAGCCAGCCCGGCCAGGTAAGAGACTCGCTCTCCTCGCTCCACTTCCAGGAACTTGCCAGATCTCAGAGCCCCGCTGCTGCTTTGGGTCTTTTGGGAATTGACCTCGGGAGACCTCGGGGACCGGGGCGCCAAGTTCCCTTTCTCATTCAGAGCAATTACTGCCCAGCCGGAGCTGCCGCGTCCTCCGCAACCAGCCTCGGGAACAACTCCGCTTCCTTTGGCGCCTCCCCTCCCCTGGCCTGGTCGCTGGCATCTCTGGGCTTCACAAGGCTCTCTCTGGTTCCCCCGCATGGTCTGCGGGTCCTGACCACCGACTGGGCCTTTCCCTAGGAAAGTCACGATTTCTAGGGTCGCGCGGGGAAAGGACCGCAACTCTCTTCCTAATCTCCAGCAGGGAGAGAAACTCATTTCATTTGGATGATTCAGCCAGACGCATGTATTTCATAGCGCTTTGGGAAGAGAGAGCTGCTCAGAATCTAAAACGGGCATGTGTGAGAATGGATGCAAGCTGCAGACCTCTGTGTATTCATAGTCGCTTCCTCTGTTTCTGTATCATTGTCGCACCTCTTTGCTTAGAGAAGCCAGAAGACCTGGCCAAAGACATTGGCACTGCAGCCATCCCCTGATCTGTTGAGATTTTGATTTTTTAAAAGATGGATCGTTGTGTGAAAATTCTAGACCTATTTCTAACAAGAACTGAGGTGAGACAAGGGGAGGAAATGACTTCCAGCAACTCTCCCTTTGACACATATACTCTGATTATATAACATAAGAAAAGCGTAAATAGATTTTTTTCTTTAATCTGGTACCTTCTGGGGCACAGAGAAAAGAGAAAACTCCGCATTGTACCTACCTACCTGTCTCTGGATCTTCTTCCCATACAAATGTCTGTGTATGTATCTCCTACTATGCCAGCATTCCCCAACGTCCTCCTGCCCCCCACCCTGGGAATTCAAGAACTGATTATTGGGATACCATGATATGCCTCCCTCTCTAACTCTCACTTAGGATGAGAACTCAGGGAGTGGTAACTTCAGGTAGTTCTGAGCTGGAGGGACCAATGTGCCTGTCACCCTCCCAGTCATCTCCCAACCGTGTGTGCTGAGCCAGGGCTCCATCTCCAGTATGGCACTACAGCCTAAGGGGCTCTCCTGTGGCAGCACAACCCTCTCACCCTGTCCTATGCTCCTGTGACCTTCGGGCCAAGTGTCCTGAAGTGGGCAGAGTGGCCGTGTGTGGAGCCATTCCATTGCAGACAAGTGGGAGAGGCAGTTTTTATCCCCCAAGCCCCACGTAATTGACCTCTTTCTGTCCAGTGTGTGGTGGACCAGCTGACATATCCCACACGAGGTGTGTTCATAGCCCTGTGATTGGCTCAGAAGAGATAAAAGTCTGAAAAACTCCATGATCCATGGGGTGTAGTGTCAGCTTCCCCTAAATCATTGGTAAGAAAATTCAAATAATCTGTAAGTCCTAACGTCAGGCTTTAGTGTTTCCTGCCCTTCTGCTTAGAAATAGACTGACTGCTTTTTAACTGTGGTTTGGCTTTTTTGCCCTCAGTGTTCTGCCAGTTCCTCCACCACAGTTCAGCACAGGCGACACCGTTTGCAGTTGGGGTCGCCTGCTTGACTTCATTCATTAGAGAACCATGAGATGCTGAGAAAAAGGGCAGAAATTTATGAAAAACAAAAACTTTTTAAATTTTTCTGAGATTATGCCCTTTCCAGTTAGCCTATAGATGTGTTAAAAAATGTCCTTTATTTTATTAAACAATGGTGATAATTAGTTTTTTAAATATCTTTGCATAACACAATAAAAAGTTGGTTACCTCAGCAGTTCCTAAAATTTTACTCGTCTGAGGAATGCAGTTGGGAACCGTGGGACTGACAGAAAACTCAAGTATTTTAATGCCAGTAAGCAATAATATGAACCAGATATTCTCAACTCTTACAGCTTTCTGAGACCTCTCTGTGATATCCAAATAAGACAGGAACCCATTTACTTTAGGAAATCATTGTCCTCTCCCTTCCATCAGTATTTCTGTTGATTTCTCCAGAGGTGGCACTTTGCTGACCTGTCTGTCCCAACCCTCAGTTTCCATTGATAGCCTCCTCTCTTCTGTGTCCTTTTTGCCCCACGTCGAACACCAGCAGCCCCTCCTTCCAATACCGTGAATATGGTGCTGTTGGATGTAACAGAACTTTCCTGAAGGTTTGGGGTAATGTAAGGAAAGTACAGAACATCGTTTCTGATTGCATCGGAAATCTAGGCAACGCTGTCATGACAATCTACCAGCTGTTCCCCACCAGGGGAAATTTCAAGATGGTGGTACTATTTTAGGGGCCCTGGCTTATCACCATCTTCTTGGCCATCACCCACCCCATATGCTAGCTTCTTCCCACGAGAAAATTTTGGTTACTCTCTCATGTCAAGCAATTTTGCCTCCATCGCCAAACCCAGACTCACTGGAGGACACTCGCTGGAAAATAAAGGTCTGTAAGTCCAAGAGCAGACGCAGTGAGCAGTTTCCTGTAACCCGACCAAGCCCTGGAGAGGGCTCCAGCCCCTGAAGGGGCCACTTCCCACCTTCCCCTCTTTAGTGCAACAGAGAATTTGGTTTACAAGAAACAGTTCTAATTGTTGAATTTTCATCTCCTTTTCCTTTTCTCTTCAAACGTTGTAATATTTGTCATTATTCTTCTTCAGCTTGGAGGACAAAGGCTTAAAAATTTTAAATAAAGAAAATAATAAAATAAAGAATTTTATTCTAAATTTTAAATTTAGAATAAATTTTAAATAAAGAAAATAATAAAATAAATAATTTTATTCTAAATTTTAAATTTAGAATAATTTTTTTAAATTTTATTTTAATCATGGTTCAAGTACAGTTTTCTCCCTTTTACTCCCATTCCAGCCCACCCACTAAATTTAGAATAAATTTTAAAGGGAGGAAGCTACAGTGGGAGCCTTCCCTCCTAATCTTTCCTGTCAGCCACTGCATCTCCCATACCAAACTGCTGTCCTGAAGAACTATTTAGCCAAGCATGTGTCATGCTAATTAGATGACCTCAGCACCAGAAAAAGTCACACAGGCCTTCCAGGCAGACAGTAATGTAAATATGAAGTTGCCATTAAAAACTATCACTAAAGGATGGAGTGATTGGTTTAATGAAGAATAATGAAAATAACAATTAAAGATGCAGGTTAGACAAGATCACAGTTCATTTCACTTTCCTGGAGAGAAAGTATCGGGAGATTCCTTTGAAGAGGGGTAGATTTTCAGTGTGGTGCACAAGGTGTTCTAAAAACCACAGGGCTGGAGCAAAACTGGAAGGGAATTACCTTTTTTGATTAGGACAAGGGGCATAAAAGCAGGTTTGCTGGAAATAAGAATGCTCCTGTACAGACAGGTGGCAGCCATAATCAGATGTTTGTATTTGAGCTAGATGGTGATCAGGAGCCTTTAAATAAAAATCTACCCACCCTGCAACAAGATGTTTTCTCTGAGACTTTCAGTAACAGAATTCATTGTTTGCCATGGATTTTTGAATGTGAAATGTTTCCCTGGAAGTAGTTCTTTATTTTACGCATTAAACTGAGGCATTTATCTTTTAAGACATATACTTTTCTATGCCCAAGGAACAATCCTCGGCTTTATTAAAACCAACCAGCAGTTGTGTATCTAGAACCAGTTATACCAGCCTCTTGGATCCAGATTCAAAAAGTCAGCCAGTTCTTGTGAAAAATGGTAACTTGTAGCAATATGCATTACTAGTTTGGTAGAAGAATTTAAGACTGGTGTGATAGCCTCAGTCCTCCTGGTCCCATATATATTCTTCCAGTGTTCTCTGTATACTGAGGCAGAGAAGCCTCCTCTGATGTCCTCTTACTAAACTGGACTGGTGCTTGCTGAGGAGAGAATCATCTCATTGCCACATTACCTGGTTGACTAGTTACTGTGTCAGCCAGCCCAGGCTGTTATAACAGAATACCATAGTCTGGGGGCCTTAAAACACATTTCTCACAGTTCTAGAGGCTGGAAAGTCCAGAATCAAAGTATCAGCAAGTTTGGCATTTGGTGAGAACTGACTTCCCAGCTCATGGACAGTATAGTACCTTCTGTCTGTGTCTGCACCTGCCCCCAGAGCAGGGAGAAAAGCAAGCTCTCTCTCTTCCCTTAATCTTATAAAGGGCACTAATCTCATCATGAGTGCTCCAACCTTGTGATCTCAGTGCCTTCTAAAGGCCTTGTCTCCAGATACTATCACACTAGGGATTATGAACGGGGGTGGAAGGGAATGCAAACTGTTCATAGCGGTCACCTCCCACATTTTTCTCTGTGGCTCTGAAAATGGAGCATCAACGTGTCATAAAGGTGTTACAGGCTGACCATACTCCAGTTATGGGTCTGATTTTGTGGAGAACCCATCTTCTGCCTGCCTGGACCTGATAACCTTGTGCTAAATTATATAATGGATTTGGTAGGTATATGCTGTCCAATATGGCAGCCACTCTCCACACGGGGCTAAGGAGCACTTGAAATGTGGCTAGTCAAAACAAGATGTGCTGTAAGTGTACAACGCTCACCAGATTTTAAGACAGTATAAAAATAGCATAAAATGTATCATTAATACTTTTATTGATTATTATATACTGGATGTATTAGGTTAAATAAATATATTAATAAAGTTCACTTCACCTGTTTCTTCTACTCTTTTAATGAAAATTTAAAAGCATGTTTGATTCATATTGTAGTTTTATTAGACAGCACTTCCCCAAGTACTACAGACTTTTGAGAACTCATTCATCCCAAAGATAGCTTTGTTGGAGGAAATGAGGCTTGAAAAGGTGTTAATAAATAAACAAAACTTGGATAGGCAGAAAGAAAGTGGAATAAAGCTGCTGTAAACATTGTGTGCAGATTTTTGTGTGGATATAAGTTTTCAGCTCCTTGGGTAAATAGCAAGGAGCTTAATTCCTGGGTCTTGTGGTAAAAGTATGTTTAGTTTTATAAG